AATAATAGGAATAAGCTAGAAAATAGTGCCGAATATTTGGGATGAGCTAGAAAATAGGCCTACTGGGAATGAGCTAGAAATTATTAGGGGTGAGCTAGATTATAAATAAGGATGAGCCAAAAAATATTTAGGAGGAGCTAGAAAATAATAGGAACGAACTAGAAAATGTGGCAAAATATTGGGATGAGTTGGAAAATATTAGAGATGAGCAAGAAAATACTGGGGATGAGCTTGAAAATATTAGGGATGAACTAAGAAATACTGGGATGAGCTAGAAACTATTACAGATGAACTAGAAAATAATGGGAATGAGCTAGAAATTATTGAGGATGAGATAAAAATATTTGGGATGAGATATAAAACCCTGGTAAATATTGGGGATAAGCTTGAACATATTGGGGATGAGCTTGAAAATATTGGGGATCATGGGCTACAAAATATTGGGGCTGTGAAAAAAAATATTTGGGATGAGCTAGACAATATTAAGGATCTAAAAATATTGGGAATGGGATAAAAAAAAATGTTTGGATGAGGTACAAAAGTCTTGGAAATATTAAGGATAAGCTAAAAAAAAATATTGGGGAAGAGCTAGAAAATACGTGGATGAGATTTTTTAAATATATATCGGATGAGCTAGAAAATATTAAGGATGAAGTAGAAAATACTGAGGATGAGCTTAAAAATATTACGGATGAGCTAGAAAACATTGGGAATGAGCTACAAACTATTAGGGTAGAGCCAGAAAATATTACGGTAGAGCTAGAAAATACTGGGGATGAGCTAAAAAATATTACGGATGAGCTAGAAAATACTGGGGATGAGCTAGAAAATATTACAGTAGAGCTAGAAAATACTGGGGATGAGCTTGAAAAGATTGGGGATGAGCTAGAAAATACTGAGGATTATTGGGGATGAAATAGAAAATACTTGGCAAGGAGTTACAAAATACTGGGAATGAGCTAGGAAATATAAGGGATGAGCTAGAAAATACTTTGGATGAGGTAAACAAAGCTAATTTGGAACTAGAAATTATTATGGATGAGCCAGAAAATATAAGGGATAATCTAGAAAATACTGGGGATGGGCTAGAAACTGTTTTATGGATGTGATAAAAAATATATATTGGGGATGAGCTTGGAAATATTAAGGATCTAAAAATATTGGGGATAAGATAAAAAATGTTGTGGATGAGATACAAAAGTCTGAAATATTGCTGGTGTGCTAAAAATTATTGGGGATTAGTCAGAAAATACTGGGGATGAGCTAAAATATGTTACGGATGAGCTAGAAAATACTTGGAATGAGCTAGGAAATATTAGGGATGAGCTAGAAAATATTAGGGATGAGCTAACAATTATTACGGATGACCTAGAAAATATTAAGGTTGAGCCATAAAATACTGGGGATGAGCTAGAAAATATTAGGGTTGGGCTAGAAAATACTGGGGATGAGTTAGAAAATAATAAGTTTGAGCTAGACAATACCGGGGATGAGCTAGAAATTATTGTGGATGAGATTTTTTAAAATATTGGGGATGAGATAGAAAAGTCTGCGAAATATTGGGGATGAAATCTACAAGAGGAAGGCGAGGTGTTTGGATGGGCGGGGAGGGAGCAAATTGATCTTTTAAAAAAAAAATTTAGTAAGAGTTTTACAATGACTTGAAACTCAATAAGGTTATACAAGTGCCGAGGATTAGATTTTTTTTTTGTAGTAGAGATTTTACGGAGCTCGCAACTGCATAATAAGGTCATATGAGCGCCAGAAGACTAGAGGAGTTACAAGAGAGTAACAAACATAAAAAGGAAGAAGAGATAAGGACGATAGATGTTTGATAGGAAAGAAGGAGCAAACCAAATCAGAGCACCTGCTAACCACCCACCAAAAAAATGGGAAGAGAGATTTATATAAGGCAGATAGATGTTTGATAGGAAAGAAGGAGCAGACCACACCAGAGCACCCACCAACCACCCACAAGGGGAGTTTTGACTGAATGCCCTTGCAGAAGTGGAAAGAGGAGTTGAACCCAACACAGTGACCAGTAACTAAAGCAAGACAAAACATCAGATTATACTCCTGGCAACAGTTTCCAGTTTAGTTTTAGTAAGAGTTTTACGGCACTTGCAACACAATAAGGTCATATAAGTGCCGCAGAATAGAGGTGTTACAAGAGAGTAACATACACAAAAAAGGAGGAGAGATTAGGATGATAGGTGTTTGATAGGAAAGAAGGAAGAAACCACACCAGAGCACCCGCCAACCACCCACAACAATTTCCAAACACACACACAGTCACAAACATCAGTACAAAAAAGATAACACCAAACTATTTTTAGCAAACTTTATTCGATGCAAACATTTGAACTGGAATAGAGTGAGCTCATGAGTGACTGGCGTGAACAATGAGGTAAAACAAGACAAACCACACGTCGCTGGTGATCTTCATACTACATGTACCCTGTTGTTGGGAGCAGATGGTGACTATTCTATTTTTAGTAACGATGAATTGGGGCAAAGAAAAGTATAAGAAAAATTACAAAATAAACCAGAAAAGAACAGGAAAAAAAAAGAAGAGAAAAGAACAGGAAAAATAAAATAAAACCAAAAGAGAACAGGAACCCCCCCCCCCCCCAGAAAAGAATAGGGAATAAAAATAAAACCAGAAAAGTTATGGGCAATAAAAATAAAACCAAACAATGCCTGCCCAGCAAAGCTATAACCCTAACCTAACTCTATACAGAATCTGTGGAGTTTTTCAATATACATGAGTATTTACTGCACTGCAAGGTATTAAATAAATTACAGAAGAAACCTGATATTACAGTTAGGTTTTACGGCGCTCGCAACTGCATAAGGTCTGATATAACAGGGATGGTGGGACCAGAGAAAAAGTCCCGTTATATCAGATCCCTGTTATTACCCGGCCTGTTATATATGGTTTCCACTGTTGTATTATATCGTAAAAGAAAACACATCGAGTCTTTTCACTGGCCTTTCTCTCCACAAACATTTCTCTGAAACAGAAACAGCTGTCTGGTGTCTCCAGTGTGTAGTGTGTATGAGTGAGGCCACACCTGAGTTGGATTTACAAAAATGTACACCTACTGCTTACCCCTAACTCCCCGACATACAGACAGGGAGCCACAGACCTCAATATTCTACGGCCGTATGTCAACAGGAAAATGCACAGCATACTAATGACCAGAGAACGGAGCAGAAATAGAAATGTAAAATGTAACCTCCCGCAGCCTTCCTTTACATAGTAATAATCGGTACTATTGTACTTAAGTCTATCTCTATCTTTGAACTTCCACCCTGTAGGTGTAGTGGTAAGGCTATCTCAGGTCCAAAAAGCCATTCCTTCTGAGTACCGTATGGGAACTTTACCATACCAGATTTTTTTACCTATTCATTCATCTCTGACCCTATTCAGGGATGCCAAATGATTTTTTTTTAAAACTGAAAATGAGCGGAACATCACATCTCACCTAAACCGAACCTTGTAAAACTTTTAACATTTCAATGAGCAACAAAAACATCTCTCTCACCTCTCCCCTTTCCTTTGCAGTTCCAACGGATGAAAAAACCCGGGGGAAAACCCCGGAAAAACCGGACATTAGGAATCTCTGCCTATTCCACACAGAGCTGACATTGGAGGAAAAACAAAACATATAATTAGGCCTACAATAAGTTTGTGCATTCACTGCTGCAAAAAGTCAGAAGTTACGTCCAAGACAAGACACTCTGTTGTAGTCAGAGTTTTACGGCACTTGCAACACAATAAGGTCATATAAAAGTGCCGAAGATTAGAGGTGTTACAAGAGAGTAACAAACACAAAAAAGAAGGAGGGGAGATAAAGACGATAGACGTTTGATAGGAAAGAAGAAGCAAACCACACCGGAGCACCCGCCAACCACCCACACAAAACACCCGACACCCTCGCACTCACACTCACACAACACGCCAGTGAAGACACACACCAGGAGAGCTAGGACAAACCACGACCCCGTTTTGATTTCAGCCTCAGTCTTCCACATAACCAACATACTCCAGCCAAACTCAGATACAACAGGACAGATGCGACAGGTGGTTTTTTCCCTTCTATTATAAGCGAGTCCCGTAGCAACTGTCATCTGAAGTTATCAAGGGAAACTACCAGTACCATTGCACCTTTAGCTTACAATATACACCAAAAGATAGATTGATAGATTATATAGAACCAACAAACAAAGAGAAAAGCTAGTTGCATTTTGGCACAACTCTGAGACTGGGTAAAGCCATTTCGCTACCCTCAATGACGATATATCCATAACTTTCCAAACTATGCCACATGCCACATAGCTCCTTTGCGATTCGCACCAAGAAAACTAACAGATTCTTGAATCAGGATGCCCAACAGAGTAGAGAAATTTCAAAACAAATTCAATCGTTTCACTCCAGAACAATTCCAATCCAATCTCTTACTTTTAAAGAAAAAACCAACCCCAAAACAAAACATTCTTACTGATGAACACAAAACAAATAAACATTTCAATCATTCTTTAAAGCTGATGGTGTAGATTAGCAATCTAATGAGATATTCTGTATCTCACAAATACATTTTCATGCATGCATACACTTTTCCCATCTTTCAAAACTTGCATAGAAATATCATATCAGTACTATGGTGATGGAAAGTGAAGAATCAGTCATGGACATGAAGGTGAAAAAAAAAAAAACCAAGACCTGTGCCACACGCACTGGTCAAAATCTCAGAATGCTTAAATGAACTTAAGCAAATAACATCATGATATGCAAAACAGCAAAAGCTAATTTTATAATCACATGTTTTCAACAGTCTGAATAAAAAGGACTCAAAAAGGACCTATAACCTTATCTTTCTGTCAGTTTGCAAGCACTTCAACTTGTCAGTAGAGAAAACTGCCCTGTGTTGCCATTTGATATTTTTTTTAAAGTGCACACACACACACATATATATATATATTTTAAAAAAAAAAAAAAACTAGTAGTATTTTAAGAGAGACCTATTGGTTCTGTAAAAGACTCCTTGAACCAAACAACTGGATGTTGTTCGAACCTTTAGTTAGACTTGAACTAAAACCCAGCACATGCATGCCCCATACTAAACAATGGAAGCACACCACACAGGCGGTTCTTTAAAAACAGTTTCTGCCGGGGGGTGGGGTCTCTGAGAGAACCTCCTACCCCTCTTGACAAGTACAAGACTGGCTTAAACTTGAACCAATATAATATGCCTGACTGACTACATGATGACTGACTCTAGCTGACGCTAAAACTCAATCTCTGCTTGGGCTCCAACGTCCAACTCGGGGAATATTTTCCTACATGACTAGTGGATGGTGGTAAAAAACACTGTTGTTGAAGGTGGTCAAAATGTCAACAAACAAATGGTCGCTTTTAAGCACAAGCGGGCATTCCCGAATAATGCTGTTGTGAGAAAATCGAAGGTAAAGTTTTTTACCCTTGTTCAGTTCCTTTAAAAGACAAGGAGAGTTTTCTCTATAACCAAACAAATATACACACCAATGAAACCAAACTTCTCCAATAGCTAGAGCAATGCCCTTTTTTGGTGAAGGTCAAGATTTCTGGAAACCCCTGAAATTTGGGTTAGCCCGCTTGTCCTTAAAAGTGACCAAATTTGGCAGCCTTCTCTTCAGTACACCGGCACAACCATTGTCCCCGAGGCGATATCGTCGAGCAACGACGAGTTGTTGGGGTTGAAGTTCCTGTTCTCGCTGGAGCACGCCGTCTCGCTGGCGCACGACTCCAACTTGCTTCCAAATATCATCGCCACACGGCTGGCAGCGGCGCCTCGTGCCACCAAGCGCAGTCCGTTGGACCTCCCAGCGTCGTCGCTGTCGTCCCCATCCTCGCCGCTGCTGTTGCCGTGGCGGTCCCCCCCCTCTCCCCGCACGGCGCGCGTCTTTGCCTGGGCCAGCGACTGCTTGTACTGCAGACGGCTCCACACCGCCTTGCACATGTTCTCCAGGATGTGGTCCCGGCACCGAAGCCTTTTGCAGTATCTCCACACGTTCCTGAAGGGAGCAAGTTGGGGAGTTGGATGAGTTTGGGTTTGAGTTGGGTTGTTTTTTTTGGGGGGGGGGTTTAAGTAGTAAGAGTTTTACAGCACTTGCAACATAATAAGGTTATATAAGTGCCGAAGATTAGAGGTGTTACAAGAGAGTCTTTCATCTTCACCTATAATCCCGTAGACTGGATGTACAAGAGAGTAACAAACACAAAAAAGGAGGAGAGATTAGTTTTAGTTTAAGTAAGAGTTTTACGGCATTTGCAACACAATAAGGTCATATAAGTGCCGAAGATTAGAGGTGTTACAAGAGAGTAACAAACATAAAAAAGAAGGTGGGGAGATAGAGACGATAGATTTTTTTATAGGAAAGAAGGAGCAAACCACACCAGAGCACCCGCCCACCACCCACATAGTTTAGAGAAGCGCACCCACAAAAAGATGGTTACTTAGTGCAGGGAAGAAAGAAGCAAGTTAGAAAGTCAGAAACGACAGACGGAAAGAAAAGAAGTAAGACCTGCCAGTCGCACCCTCCAAACACACGCAGAAATTTAGGAATGAAATCAAATACTTAACAAATTATTTTTCAGAATCCTGCTCACCAACGTCAAAAAACAATCAAACAAGGACTATCTTAAGACTCGACACAGTGACCACCATCATTCTTCTACTTCTAAATAAAAAATCCCTACCAAAAAGTTTTCCAATATTCTGGATAACTAGTGACAGAAAAAAATTCATTTCAAAGCTTAACTCTATTTGGACGTCGTGTTTTACTATCGTATCCATATGACATGGGGAACTCTGTGCCTCTACTTAACCCTATCCGTACGCCGTGTTTTACTATCGTATCCATATGACATGGGGAACTCTGTGCCTCCACTTTCCAAAGAGGAGACTTACTCGTTAATCCGATACGTCGCTTTGCATAGCAGTCTATCAAAATGATTTTTTAATAAATACTGAAAGTCTCAAAGAGATCTTCGTACTAGAAGTATTCTACAATGTGAAGAATACAACCCCGGGGGTACAAAATGACCCCAGGACGTACGGACAGGGTTAAGATAAGAGAAACAAACAATGAAAAAGCTGAAGAGTTTCCCAAACAGCTTGGTCGGACATTTTTGACATTTCTTAACGAGGACACAGTCAAAACTTTAGGGGGCCCAAACAATTCAGACATTATATCACTATTCTAGAATTAGATAAGGTTTTATCTACTCAATACCTACTTTTAAGAAAACTGACAATAACATTTTTGAGTTTTACAATATTGTTAAGCTTTTTTAAATGCAATTCTTTGAATATCTTGATAACGACTCCGAACAAATCTTGCATTTTTGATAGAGCAGATAGAACATTTGGTCTTTGTCCTAAAGGTTTAGTGACTCATAATGGCCAAAAATGACAGAAAGAACTATGTAATTCTAAGGTAACGATACGTCTAAACAAATTATTTGACCAAAACATAATCAAAACTGGAAATATAATGATTCTAAAATTCTTCCGGAGTATCAAATACCTGTGAAAGCCATGAAGATGATAGTGAAATGAAAATTCATCCAATGCGCAGGGTTTTCTCCCCCCAAGACTTTTCCAAGAGTTTTCAAGACCAGATTTCTTTTTTCAAAGACAAATAACGTGTCATTTCGAAAGAAAATTTTTCGTTCAGCGTGCAAAAATACATTATGGAACACTTCCAAAGGCGTAAAGTCGAGGCCTTCTAAACTTCGAAGAAATATATTTACAATAGATCTAGTTTTAAAATTGTTTTTCCAAGAATTTTGCCAACTTCCCAAAATTCCAAGAGTTTTCCATATTTTGGAAAATAAAAACCAAATTCCAAGAGGTTTCCATGTCTTGAAAATTATTTTTTTCAATTCTAAGAGTTTTCCAGTTTTCCAAGACCCGCGGAGCACGGAGCGGAGAGACGTCCCAGCACTGACCTGATACATCGCCGACACCTCCGCAGCTCCCCTCTCTGCATCAGGCTCCAGGACCAGAAGACAAAGCAGCGGGCTATCATTTGTTCATTGCCCAGCAGCATGGCCACTTTCAGCTGTTTTTTGGAAATTTTCCCAGCCTGCTCAGCCTGCAAACAACAGAAAATAGATTATAATAAATGCTGCTGATGAGTATCTGTATTACCTGTCCAGGGCAACAACGTCATTGCACACCGGACAAGTCCATAAGTGCTCAGTTCCTCTCAGCACCAAAGCCTGCAAGGGATCCATACTAATTGTTACAGTAGCTGTTTGATTATGGCAACACCTTTCCAGATATATAATCGTTCCTAAGTTGATTCAAAAAGGTAAAATTGTACTGGGCCAGACGAGGTATCAAGCTTTTTGTATCCTCTTGTTTTTAGTTTTAGTAAGGTTTTACGGCGCTCGCAACTGCAGAAGGGGTGGATGTCAACAGAGAACTCCAAATGGGGAATCAGGCTTACTCTGCTCACCTCTCTAACTTCAAAAGCACACAGTCTGCTTCGACTATCAAGGCACCCCGGGAATAGCGGGTCACAAAAGTGTGACAAACATACAAAAAAAGTAGAGTAAAAATGATAATAGTAAGGATGAGAAAAGAAAAAGCAGCAGTTCCCCTTATGTTGTTCCAGCACAGTATGAGCATGACATTGATAAATCAGCCCATTTACAATTCTACTGTGCAAAAGAACATGTTAATATCCCCCCTTTGGGAATGACCTAAAGACACTTCAGTCAGTAGCACTGCTCTGGGGGGTACTCAAGTCTCTACCATCAATTTAAAAAACCCAAAGTTTGCTGAAAATACCGGTACATCGCATGAAATCAGTTCCTCATGAGCCACATGTGTGTAACTTGTGACTGGGTCTTTATGCAACAGAATAGACAAAGAAATAAAGAAATACGACCTTCCCAAAGGTACACTGCCCTCCTCTCTGAATCGGGGAATCCAACCTACAAAAATTACCTGCTGCATTTTCAAACACATTTCTGGTAAACTAAACACCTTACTGAACAAAACTGTACACGATGGACCATTGGAAAACAAAATAAAACTAGATCTGAAAGGAAAAGGAAGGGAAGAGGACCTGACCTGATCTGACCTGACCATACCATCAATCATTTATTTATCGAGGCACCAGCCATCCATGCCCTGGTGCTGTTTTAGTTTTAAAGATAAAGGAAAAGATATATATATGTGAGGCAGCGTGGTGAAATCAGGCGCTCGTCAAAATAATAAAAGTGAAGAAACTAGCATTTTCCCGCATGTTTGTGAATTTTTATTGAATTTTTGGTTTTTTGGCTCAATACTTTTTATGCCCATTAAAAACACACATTCCAGTGTGGATTTTACTGAAAAACGTTTATTAAAGGCCAAAAAAAATTTTAATTTCCAGATTACACGAGCTCTCAAGCTAAGGAAAAAACAAAACTTTGGCGGACATTTTCTCATTAATTTTACCTCTAAAACCAGGCGACCCCCACCTCCTTCAATGGCAAATATCTCGACTTGTTTCCAAGATAAATGGGTATTGCTTTCATTGAAAGCAAGACAAATGGACAGGCTTTAAGATGATCCCAATAACTCCATATGCCAAAAAATTGACGATTCCACTATGTCGTCACACACATATTTAGGAAAAAAAAGTGGGGCGGACTTACGTGCTGAGAAAAGACCTCCCCGAGAGCCGAGTGAGCCCCGCCCAGAGTAGACAGCCAGGCAAAGCCTTCCTCCAGCGTTATGTGCTTGTTGAGTAGGCACAGGATTCTGTCACACCTACCAGTCAGGGGGAGGAAAGAGTATCAGTGTAAGTAAGTGTTTTACTGAACTTGCAACACAATAACGTCATATAAGTGTCACACCTGAAAGTCACAGGGAAAAATATGAGTGTATTATAAAGGTGCATCATCAGATCTTTCTGTTTTTAGTTTTAGTATACAATAAGGTCATATAAGCGACGAAGATTACAGGTGTTACAAGAGAGTAACAAACACAAAAAAGGAGGAGGGGAGATAAGGACGAGCACCAGAGTACCCGCCAACCACGAACGGAAAAAGTATTGTCTTATAAAAAGGTGCATTATTAGACCTTTCTTAGTCTCTTTAATAAAATTAAAACTGATGATTTAACATGCTGCAGCTGCTGCTTGCAATGAACTAAGGGGTCCCATGAACTAAAGCCTAAAGCAGTTAACTACAGTAATTTTTGAAATATTTGTCCATTGTCATATTTCTCTTTAAAAAAAATAATAAATTCAAGCCTAAATTCACTTCAATTTAGATCCCATCTTTGACGCCTACATTAATGATGATAACCAGCGATATAGGGAAACAGTCCAAACTTTAACATGTTGCATTATAAAATAAAATCACTTTGGGTTTTTTAAAATTGAGCTTCAACACTGCTCTATTTCTTTCTCAATATTCCCAGCCCAATCTGAAATTTTTACCCCGTGATGGACTTAGGAGTAAGTCAGTGCAAGTACCAGTAGCAAAAAGATTAGTCAATTACAACTCAAGGGGACAAACGATACACTTTTGAAGTTTATGGAATAGTACATTTCGTTTTCGTAAGAGTTTTACGGCATTTGCAATACAATAATGTCATATAAGTGCCGAAGAATAGACATGTGAAAAGAGAGTAACATACACAAGAAAAGAAAGAGGAGAGATAAGGACAATAGACGTTTGATAGTAAAGAAGGAGCAAACCACACCAGAACACCCGCCAACCACTCTAATAGTACAGATAAAATCATTTCGTACTACTAAAATAGGATGACCACTGAACTCAACTATATTTTTCCCCATCTTTTAAAACTTTTTAACAGCTTTGCTAACAACCCTTAACACTTTGCCATTATATTTTGGGGCAAATCCAAAGAAACTGGGTGGTGAACATCGCCAATCTGCGAGACGAGGCAGCAGAGTGTTAAAACCCTGTAGAAATGAGTACGTACAACACTTACCAAGGGAAGTCAATCTTCTGCTGGGGCCAGACGGCGACGACGTCGATCATGTAAGGCACACACAAGTAGTTGTCCCACATCTCCCGCTCCTCCTCCGTCCACTGCTCGTAATCCGGGATACAGTTTCGGAACCCACCTTTGCTTCGGACAAACCGCAGAAAGCGCCGGCGAAATGTCCGACTCCGCGCCAGCTCGCTGCTCACACAAGACGCGACGTGGGCGTCGCACAGAAACGTACATTTGTAATTTGGCAGCACGTAGTACATGACGTCCTGTTGCTTCTCCGGAGCGGGACCGGTCGGAGTCAGAGGAGGTGGGGCAGGCAGCGAGAATCTTCGCATCAACCCTTTTCCAGCAGCGCTGGGCGGTGGTGGTGGGGCTACGCAACACACCTGCTTCTGACTTAGGCGCAAAACTTTTGGCGAGAAATTTCTGTGGGGTAAGCAGTACATTGTTGAGATTGCCTCAGTTTGCTTGGCGCCCACAGAGCAAGGGTCGAGAGGGTAAAGTTCATACTGTCTGTCCTCGCTTCCCTGAACTCTGATCGGGTCAACAGTGAACATTAGCTTCACGGCACCACTACTCATGTCCAGTTCGAACGAGGCGAGCTCTCGTGTGAAAGTCCTGCATGTCCATATCCGGTCGTACGTCCGGAACACGACAAAGAGGCGAGGCATTTTGTACCAGTCGGGTCCTTCTCACTCCGCCTGGAAACTCTTCACTGTAAACAATCTGTCCTCTGCTACACACTCCAGGAATGGTGATTAGTTGGGAAATATCATGCTATCTTCTTTGCAAGAATTTCAATCTGAAATAAAATAATCAAAACATTTAGCAGATTGAATTTCACACCATCAGTTTTTATGCATAGAGAATACTTTCACATTTTTATTCCATTTCCAATATATATCAGCCTACACATCACAAATATATGATTTTTAAACACCTTAAAGAATGCAGATCTGAAAAGAACATTATTTTTCAGTAATTAAGCATTCAAACCCAGACTTGACACCTCGATATGACTTCCTATCTTAGATCAGATCTGAATTTGGCATTCAAACTAACCTAAAATGCCTAGATCGAGATTTACGCAGGATATATAGATAAAACAAGATTTGAGCCTAGAAATATATATATAATCATTATAATATAATATCTCATTTGAGCCTATTTTGTTATCACCCACAGTATCAGACAGCTGACAGTTTTATCATGTGGTCCTGGGTAGTTTCAGATTGAGTGCATCCGCGCATACTAAATCATAAATGTGAGGCAGCGTGGTGAAATCAGGCGCTCGTCAAAATAATCAAAGGGAAGAAACGGACTTTTCCCCAGGTTTGTGAATTGTATCGAATTTTTGTTTTATGGCTGAACACCTTTCATGTCCATATAAAGAACACATTTCTGTGTGGATTTTACTGAAAATAGTTGATTAAAGGCAAACAACATGATCAAACTTCAAACACTCGGCACAGCATCCACGCACAGGGCATGCCTTCTGAGAACTTGTTGAGGTAGGTTCCTTTTCTTTTTTTTTTATCCCTTGCCCATTTATAATTATAGATCTAGATCTAGATCTAGATCTATATGAGTATGAGATTGATGCCATCTGATTAGTCTGATTAGTAGAAAAATAAAAATGCACATGATTGACATGATAGTGTCCAATAACGTGCAAAATAACAAGTAGATAATCTAGATCTAGATCTAGATCTAGATTTAGATCTAGATCTAGATCTAGATCTAGATTAGATTCTAACTGTTACAGAGATAGAGATTCCGGGATTATAGATGTAAATCATTGATCTAGATCTACATCTAGATCTAGTCTAGATCTAATTCTAGTTGGCTCACCTTGTGACGCCTTGTCTTTGGACCGTAACCCGGAACACGAGACTGCCCCACAAACGACTCAGTCTCAGTGACACTGACAGGCAACACCCAGTGTAGTGTATGAGTATGAGTAACTCGGTCAGTCGTTAGGATGACAAGTTCCAGTTAGGGCTGCTCTACTCTACAGGCTAGATCTAAATCTACAGTATCTTAATCTAACATTTACTTTCGAGTGCTTTCTTGGGTATTACGACAAAGCAAGAAGTTACACCACCAATAATACAAAGTCACAATCACAATACAAACCTTCTAAAATCATAACACAGAAAACTCGGTCAACTGGCGGCCATTCTTCGATGCACACTGACTGCCTTCCTACTGCCTTCCTACTGCCTCGCTAACTGCATTGAACTGTAAAAAACCTCTCGTGAACTCGCGAGTCTAGACTGCTCCTCCTTGGCAAACTTATGCAACTGACCGACTTTCCGACTCAACTCTCGTGTCACTGAACGTGCACGCCAGTGCAGGAAGTCTACACATCACATTCTGCATGCCTTTGACCTGGAGCCCGCGCGCAGTCGCTGAAAATAAATTCGTCCCCCGTAGCCTAGGCCTACATAGCCTTGGGAAAAGGTCGCCTTAACCTTGAACGTATATATAACAAAGGTGGCCTTGATCCTTGCCTTACCAAGTCCTGATAATTTTTTAAACGTTTGACGAAGACGGTTTGGAAAGCCTTTTGCCTTTAGCGCGGCTAGCCTAGGCCTACTGTCTTTCGTGCGATAAACTGCATACCTCAATTTAAAGTTTTAGTTTTAAAAATATTCTTATCAATTGTCGTAGGCTCTATAAAGTTCTCTCATTTTATTGGAAGAAAATGTTTTCAATCGTATAAAGGATACGAATTTAAGCTTTCGATCCCAGCCCAGGATGCAACATCTGCGCGCTTTTTCACCCGCACAAAACACATCTCCGGGTGTTCGTAATAATTAAGTGGAGAAAACAGTAAACCTTTTTTTTTTTAATGAGACATCTAAAAGACTTGAACAACGGAATATAGATATACACTATGATCTGTAACATGTATTTTATTTATTCTAAAGCATATTATATTGTATGTCAAGCCGATCCGGTTCTCAATTATTGCGCTGTAGGCTACGCATAA